TGTCCACAAGTTTCTTGAAGGGTTGAGCCTAGAACTGTTCGCAGTAGTTCAGCTAAGCCCTTCTTGGTGCTGAATAAAGTAGGAGAATCACTTCCCATGTCTTGCCTGTAATATTCCCATTAATACATCCCAATGTACTATTAGAATCTGTCTGCCATAAATGCTATGTTATTGGCTCATTCAGCTTACAGTCCACTGTAACCCCAGGTCAGTGGCCTATTCACCCCATATCAAATTTTTGGATAAGTAATCAGTTCAATTAATACAAGCCTCTGCAATGGATTGACAGGTTCACAAGTTCTAAAAAAGGAAGTCATAAATCCGGAAATCTGCAGTGTCTTTAATTTTAAATCCTACTGAAGTGATGGGCCCTTTTCCAGTGTTCTGAAGTTACAGTTATGTACCATAACCTTAAATATGAGTGATCATTTTTTCTGAGCATAATACAAATGAGAGCATTTTAAAGCAAATGGTTTAAAATAGTTTGGAACAATTACAAGTAAACTGGACTTTCACTAGTAAATTAAGCCATGGCTGCCCAAACTTGTGCCCAGCCTGTCAAAACTCAGGTGTTCAACTGAGCGCCTGAATTACACTGAAGTGAAATCTTAGAATTTCTGAGTTAAGTCTCCTCAACAGCTTGTAAAAGGAGAGCTCTTCATGCCATGGCATGCCCCCTTTGTCATTTCTCCATCCCTGTAACCTATAAACATTTTTTTTGTAGTCTGACAGCCACTACTCCAGCCACTCCAGTAGCAATACTCTCTCTAGCAATGCCTCCAGTGTGCATAGTGAGGAGAAGTGGTATGACAGCGGAGAGCGTATGGAGTCAGAACTGAACAGCTACAACTACCTTCAAGGAACATCCGCAGATAGTGGCATAGACACCACTTCGTACGGCCCCAGTCATGGCAGCACAGCCTCTCTGGGAACCTTAACAACATCTCCTCGATCAGGGTTGACAAAGGAGAAAGTGGCACCACTGTGGCACAGCTCCAGTGAAGTAGTCTCCATTGCAGACAGGACTTTAGAAAAAGAGAGCCATGTTGTAGACCGAAAGACAGAGTCTTCGCTAAGCCTGGATATTCACACCAAGAGTCAACCAGCCTCCAATCCATTAACAAGAGAGAACAGCTCTTATAGTCTAAGTGATGCTGTTTCACACACAAGGTAATTTTCTCTTGAATTGATTGATTGTCCCTTCCACCTTTTTTTCCTCTCTTTGATATAACAGAGGTGAGAAGTGGGTGTTAAGGGAAAACCAAGTACACATTAAAAATGGAAACTATATTTGTTCTTTGTACCTCCTGCTGGTGAGTTGCTGTTATGCTATAGACTAAACATTTGTGCCAACAGGAGAAGCTATTCCATTATCAAAGACGCTACGAGTTTTATAGTGTGATATATGTATAGGGAACATATTGCAAGCAATGCTGTTCAAATCATTGTTAACAATGGGATCAATAAAATTAATGCCTAGTTTGATTTGGGAATATTTTGGTTTTGTTCTTTCATGGGGAAGTTTAGTCTCATCTCTGCATTTTTTTCCCCACAGTCTTTTTGTTTAGAACATTGCTGGGAAGCAGTGTGATCTAATGTATAAGCAAAGGATTTTGAGGAGGGACATCTAGATTCTAGTACCTAGTCTGCTGCTGACCTTGACATGACAGTTGCTTTACCTCTTTGCTTCACTTCCTCTATTTGTAAAATTGAAATAATGAATATATGTACAAAAGTGATTTGAACTCCTTAGTTGAGGTGCCTACTTTCCAAATTTATCATAAAAAATAGAGGTGAAAGAGACTCTAGATCCTCTAGCTTGCATCCCAGGAATGCTAAATATAATCTTTTTTTAAATTCTGTTGATCATTTTAAAATGAAAAATACCTGTACAGTATTAAGAAAGTGAAATATTAAAGGAAAAACATTTATCATAATCATAACCTAGTCCACTATGCAGATTTGGTACCATCTCCTCCTCTTCCAGATGTATATGTGAATGGAAGTGTCTGTGGCTGTGCTTTCCACTGAACTCACTGCTGTCAGTGCACTTGAAGGATGCTCTGAGCAAGTTACCAGACTGGGATCTTCAGAGGGCTGAGATGCAAGGGCGCGCACAGTTTGTGGATCCTGAGCAGCCAGAAGGGGGTAGGGGAGAGAGATTCAGCTCAGCCATGATGGTCAGATGAGGATTGCTCACATGAATTTACAAAATGTCAATTGATGCTCCTCTACTGCAATTTTTAAGGCAAATATAGTTTTGTGAGTTTCCTCTTGACATTTATTAGAGATCACTGAGCACTCTGCTGTACTGCTCATAATGGTCCTCTGTTGGGAAAAGCAGGCTTGGTCTTATAGAAATGTCTTAACATTGAAATATTTGCCGCCTTGAACATGGGGATCTTGTACAAGAACCTTTGACTGCAGAAGAGTTGTCAGCAGCTTTTTTGTTGAGAGGGAGCTTCTTAAAAGGGAAGAAAAAGGCCGAGTATATCTGAAGGAACATTTAAGAACAAAACACTAAAGGGAGAAAGTATTCCTAACGGTAATTACGTGTTTGTAGATTTGAGGTTCTAGCTTTCTCTCCTCTGTGCAGGGAATAGCACTGACTCATTTGTAGGAATAAAGACAGTCAGAGGAAAAAGAAAAGAAATGTGATAACATCAACTAGAGCGCTATATACAGACTAGTACACTTGATTGTAGGCATAGCCTATCAAATCGTCTCATTAATTATTAATTGTACAATAGCAGTGTCTCACAACACGGCATTTTCTCTGCAGTTTATTTGGTTTAACCCACCTCCTATTTTGCTAGTTGCACTAAAATAGTTGTTCTAAATGTATTTTTTTCAGAATGTTGTTGAACTTTCTTGATAAAGGTACTCTTGTTTATAGTAAATACAACAGTCTTAGTTTGCTTTATTGAAAAGAAATAAAAAATACGGCTCTTTACAAAGAGCAGTATTGTATAGCAAGTTCTTAAACAGAATTTGGAGACCCTAATTGGGAAATTATAATACCTTGTAAAATTAATGGATAATATTTGGTCTATCAGCCGAGGGGGGGGGAGGGAGACGATGATACCTCATATTCTTTCATTAATTTTTAATTTTTTTTGTAATATTCAAAAAATATATTCAGTTCCTTGAAACCAGGAACATTAATATTTTGTTCCCAGAAAGACTATACTTGTACTTTGACACAACAAAATGTCAGGGTTACTGACAGGTAAGGAAGAAGAGAGGAAAGTCAAGAGTGACTGATTTTTAAAAATGCAGTTAATAAATAAAGCAGGTACACATCTTATTTGTTCTGTTTCTATAGCACTTCCCTCCCCCAACCTTTAATTTGTTATCCCATTGTCTTCACATTTTACAGGCTTTTGCCTGCTGACCTCAAAGTGCCTGTCTCAAGATCTATAGAAGCAATTGTTCTGAGCTAGAAGAAAAGGAATTTAATGACAAAAGGAACAGAGATGGAGAAAATAAAATAACTGTAAATTAGAGTGTTTGTGTCTTTAAACTACAGGAACAATAATTAGTGTGCAGATCAGTTGACAGTGCATAAAGGAGCTTGTACCTGAGAATTGGTGGCAAAATCTAAATTATAGTGATTAACTTTTGCAGCAGTGTTTCTGACTAGATTTTATTTTCTGTCTCCACCTCCCTACCCAAAATCTTTATTGATGATTGTGCAGGTTTCTCATTGCATCCTTGGAGAATTGTATTATGTAGGGTGGTAATTACACAGAATCATTAGATCTGAATGTCATTAGCTGAAACCATATGTGTTGATCTCTTGAATTTCCTTGAATAAAAAAGGAGCATATTAATCATTTCAAACTTTCATGTGCTTCTTAGCTTGATGGTCTCTTAGGGTCCTCACTGTCAAAACTAAAATCATAATTGCTAGTATTGCCAACCCCGAATGGTATTAAACTATTTTTTTATAATTTTTTTTATTGGAAAATAGTTTTAATAGTTCATCTAGGATTCTTCTTCAGGTACTGCAGAGAGAAGGCAGATAGGATCTACTGTATGGTTTTTTTGGATACTCTTGTGCTCAGTATAAAAACAATTCATTTTTAGATCAAGGTCTGGACACAGTTCCATTTAGAGATGATTGGAACTACTTCAAGTGCTTCCCAGGGATTGAATGTGCTGCCTCCATGATGTTTTTTTCCCATCTGTTGGCTCAGACCTATTTCCTTTAAACTTTGGTCCCATTCAACAGGGAAGCTACTTGACTTGTGCAGAGCCCCATTGTCTTCGTTGTGCCAACTTGCAAAATGGGAAGTTTGGTCTCCTCTGTGTCAACAATACAATATGCTGCCAGTAAAGCACCAGGCCAGCCCTAAGAGTGTTCACATTATATTACTGAGCACCGCAAAACTTATTCAAAATGTATTTACAAGTCCCTATAGGAGACTGCAATTTAAAAATAATGGACAGCAAAAAATAAAAATAAAGCACTTCTCTTGTTCCTTTGCCACCTACTGCTGCTTGCATAATTCATGTGTTCTTGGCTGTTTAGATCTTGTTTAATCTGTTTAACTTGTGTTGTTTAACCTTGTTCTCTTCAGAGAAACACCTGCATAGTAATAGGTAAAAATAAACACACTGAATGTAGCTAGAAATTATTTATAAGCCTTCCCTTTGCTCTTCACTAATACCATTGTCTTTATATTTTTTTAGTAACACTAAAGAGTTCTCAAAAATGGTGGGAATATTAATTTTACTATAGAAAAGGAAAAACATCCACTCTGGAATTACATACCCATTCTGAATTATAAAACATTTAATAACAAAACAGCCCTTTTAAAATGTCTTTAAATATATGCAGCTTCTCATGGTTTCACTTGACAATGACGATGCCCCTCACAAATGTACTTAGTTTGCTCAGCATGAATAGAAATGTCTCTCTAAAAAAGAAGAAAACCTATGTTTGTTAATGGAACCTACTTCTGTTTCACTTCCATTTCTCTGCTTTCTCAATAAAAGTGTTTCTGCAAGGCACAAGAGGACAACATTTGTGATCTGCATTTCCATGTGGACTACACCTTTAAAATGCAGGCTGTTCTTGTACACAAAGTCCTTTACCTCCCACCAGTCAGTCAGACACTTGCTGGCATATAATGGGAAGAAATGATGGTCAGCTGAATCCAAGGACCTGAGTAGACTTATTTAAAAAAATATAAACCGAAAAAAGCTTTTGATCAGGCATGCAACTGGAAATGAGGAATTTGGATTTTTTCACACAAATTTGTGTCCTTGGGCAAGTTGCTCAATACTACTTTGCCTTGATTTCAATATCTGTAGAATAGGAATAACAATATTGTCTTTTGCAAAGACCTTGGAAATTTACACATAGGTGAGATATTACATAAAGTATCTCATCATTAGTATGAACTTGATGGACAGTCGGTGACCATCATTGATGTTTTGAATACCTTCCGTAATTGTTTCAGAAGCAAATGAAAACATTTGTTCATATCTCTCTCAATCAAGAGATGACAGGATCATAGGAGAATTGCTGTTAGGCCAAACATGGTCAGGTCATTCAACTATAGTTAATTCAGCCATCCAGCTAATTTTTATTTTGCAATCAGATGCTACTCTATACCTGATGGCCATTTGTTTCAAATGCTAGACCTACTTGTCCCTGAAGCACTTGATGTAGAGAAGAAAAATGCACATACGCAGTGTTATAGATTGTGAAGTCCTTAAAACATATTAAGATATTCTAGCACAGCATATATACCCAACATTTTCTGTATTTGTAGTTAAAAATGATTGCCAGTTTTTTTAAAGAAAATCATTATGTAGTCTTAAAGTCTTATGTTCCTGTTTACTACAAGAAAAAAATGTCATATCAACAAATAAATAAGTAAATAAAAAGCTGAGACAAGGATTTTTGTGGGTGATATCTTTTAGTGGACCAACTGTCTTTGAAAATCTAATCTAACCATGCAGTTGGTCCAATAAAAGATATCACCCACAAAAATCCTTGCCTCTTGCATATTTCCTGGACCATCATGACTACAAAATCACTGCAACACTACTATAAAAATATGAAATAATTCCCTTAGGGATTTCCTCCTATCCTGCAAACAAATTGGACTCAGTCATTCTGTGTCTTCTCATGCTTTATCTAGTTGGTTATGTATGGATGATATTAAAAGGAAGGGAAAAAAAACTCTTTCTAATTAAGGCCTAGTTTGACACAATAATATACCTACCTTATAGATAGAGTCCAAGGCCTCCCACAAGAGGTTCTAGATTATTTCAGTACATTGGCATTTATTCCATTAGGAATAAATTAATAAAATTGCTCTTACCAATCTGCCATTTACATTGGATGATAGGAAGAAGGAAATTGTATATATTAACCAGCCTCTCTCTCTGCTTCCCAGTGTTGCTTGCTTTCCCCTGAAACTTTTTTGGAAAGTCTAAATGAGACTGAAAATAATTCAGGCTCATGGCTTCGAGGTCTGGCCCATCTAGACTATCAAGGCCTGGCCTACTTTTCAGAAAGTGTGTATCAACCAAATGATTTCACTATTTGATTAACTGCTTATTTTATGACTGTAAAATAATAAAGGAGGACTCCTACCATGGTTAGCAATCCTATCATTTTTATTTTTTATCTTAAACTTTTGAATTTGAAAACTGGCTTTTAAAGTGCTAGGCACCCAGGCAACTCCATTGATCATGGTCAACATAACACACAACCTCTCAGAAGAATGATGTTTCTGTCCTTGTAAAGTCCTCAGCTGTTGGACCTCAATGGTAAGTCCACATTGTGCAGTCAGTGCAGCTCTTTCTTACTGATAATATTGCCCAAGTTCTATCGAGGGAATCATTCAGTATTTTTATACATACCAATTCCTAGCATGTCAGATCTCTCATTTGTTCTAATGATTTTTTTCTTTCCCTTCTATCTCCTGCCCTTTTATAATAAGACTGAAATGAAACTTCTGTTACTGCAAAATGTTAGTGTGTCACCAAGGCTCTCAAACACTGCCATTTTTCACCCCATAGACAATGTGGTCTCATGATGCCTTTATCAGCTGTGATGCTAGTTGCTTCTAAATAAGCAGTAATGAATAAGGCTAGCAGTGTATATCCACTTATTGCTTTAAAAATCTCAGCAATTACAACTCTAAAATTATACATCCTAAAATTGATACAGATGGTTCTGTGGATGAAACTAACTAGAAATCAGACCTGGGTTTTCTTGCTAGCCTAGCCACAGGCTTCCTGTGTTACCTTGAAGGCGCACAACCTTTCTGAGCTGGATGTTCCTTATTTATAAATTGGGGATGACAGTTTTGGTCCTCATGTGTGGCTTAAGAAGTTTGGTTCACTGATATTTGGCAAGTCTGTTGTGATCCTTTAATGGAAAATGCTAGAGATGTGCAATATTATTACACATTTTATACTAGATAATAAGAGTAATAACTTGTGTTCCAGTCAGCTCTAAAAAGCAGCTTTAAAAGCTGTTATGCAAGATGCAAAAGCATATACCTAAGTGAAGCTTTGTCTTTATGCTTCTCTCCCAGTACCATGAGCTCACGACATTCTGCCAGCCCAGTTGTTTTCACCAGTGCCAGAAGTTCACCTAAAGAAGAGCTTCATTCTGCTACTTCCCCGCAGCTCGCACCTCCTTTCTCCTCCTCCTCCTCCTCCTCCTCTTCTGGTCCTAGGACTTTCTACCCACGCCAGGGTGCTACTAGCAAGTACCTGATTGGATGGAAAAAACCAGAAGGGACAATAAACTCTGTGGGGTTTATGGATACAAGAAAGTAAGAGTGTTTTTTGGTTCTGTTGTTTGGTTGTTAACTTTAAGCACAAAAGAAGCGTTGAAATCCAAAGAAATTTCCTGTATGGAAAAGCCTTAGAGCATTTCATGTAATATAATTTTCTTATAAAACTTAATGTTTGCTCTATATTTTGGCTTGAAAATTCAATTGCGAGGTTGTCATTCTCTGTTAATTTTTTTAAAAAGCTTTCAGATTAATTTCTATTTATTTTAGCCTTATTAAATTCTATGGGATTTTTCTTTAAGAAAATTCTTAAAGCAACTCTGAGTATTGGTTTCCTCTTAACTCCAGGAGATGATTTATTTTCACATGTACCTGTCCTGCACACTGCCATGTGTCATCATGGCAAACTAAATTAACCAACATAGAGCTCATTGCTGCCACAGCTAGACTGTTGCAGTTACCTATGCCAGCTTGTTTAAGTTTACTTCAGCTATCTCTACTTTATACTGAAACTCTTTCTATTGTAGGCATGCCCTAACTGTAAGGGTTTCATGGTTTGTGGTCTCAGGTGACCATGAAAAGAAGTAGTTGGGAGAATACGTTTACAAATAACTGGCCCACTGCCTTTTGAGACTGGAAGATCTGGCAGTCTGAGGTGCTTGAAGACCTTTGTGGATGTGAAGCACACCATTACCAAATAATACCAATGATTTACAACCATGGGGAATGCTGGAAAAGAGAGGCTAGCAGAAAACTATTTTGTAGAAGTTATACAATACAAGCCAATTTAAAAAATAGACACACTCAGGTTAATTTAACAGGCTTTTTATATGTGTTCTTTGTACAGAAAACACATTCTGTTAATTCCTCCATGGAGACATTTATTATAATAATTATTATACGTATTGAAAATTAAAGCTTTCAGATGGTTTATTCCTTTAACAGGAATATTTATTTATATGGGACTTAACAGTATTATGCAAGACTCAATCTCCTACTTCCCTCCTTCATGTCTTCTCTACCCCAGTTTTCCCTCTAGAAATTCTGAGAATTCTTTACTGTTTGTTTAATTTATGGCTGTGAAATGGTTAAGAATCCTGAACGTGTCTGTCCCCTTGCTTTTAAGACGTCACCAGAGTGATGGCAATGAAATGGCACATCCTAGGTTGCGTGCATCAGCCAGAGATCTACGGGCATCACCCAAAGGGTCCTCCAAGTCCACTGTCGAGGAAGAGCTGAAGAAACTGATTGATCTGGACAGCCCAACGCCAGAGTCCCAGAAGAATTTCAAGGTATGTTACATAAATGGGCTATGCTCTGTTATCACTATTAAGTGAAATTCAAGAGCAGGTAGAGGCTAAGGTAGCACATCTAAATCTGGTGTGGATAAGTGTAAATCCATTGACCACAATAGTACTGTGCAGAATTAAACCAGGTGAAGATCTGGGTCCAAGGCCTTTGTTAATGGGCTCATGCATCAGTCATAAAGATTGTGCATTGTTGTTCAGAACAAAATAAAAGCTCTGAACCAGCAAGATGTTGAGTGGTTCTTGGAGAATGCTAAACACCTTTAACTCCCGTGGAAGTTGAAGGCATTCACTTCTTAACAGAAGCTACTCAGTGCTTCTTAATATGGGGGCATAGATGCGTCTCAGGTGAAACGTTTCTGTTTGCACTGATCGCAGACAAACAAAATCCAAAACAGTAATCTTCCCTGATTTCTCAGCTTGGAGACGAGGCTTGCCATTTTCCCCAGTGTTTCTCACCTGTAGCATTTAGGGAATGGTATTGATACTCCCACAATTATGCCAGTTCCACATACAAGCCATTGCAGAGACTAGTATACAAAATAAAAGACGCTATCTGGGACTGATTGTATGACTTGCTTATTTGAATGGTCCTTCCACTCTTTGATTACAAGCAGTCGAGGAGAGGCATGTTGACAAAGTACTGAACCTTCTTGCAACATACATGCTTGCTTTAGTGCCTTTCTTGAGTGCCTATTGCTCATTGTGCAATGACCTAGTATGCTTCTAAATCTTAAATATTTATACAGAAAAATCTAATACAGAAATATCTTCTAAGTTTTCATTAACAGTAATACAGACTTAAATTTTTAAACATTAATATAAAAGATCATGTGATCATTTGCAAGGGAGAGTCTTGATTTCTATAGTGTACTAAGTCACTGCTTAACAGCTCAGGCTCATCACCTAAGGCCCAAATGGTTTCCACAGCAACCATGCAAAAGAGAGCTTGCAACTTCTTTCTCCTCTTGTCAAAACCCAAAGAGGCTTATTAAAACTTGTAAGTAACAGGTCTAGATACAGATTATTTCAGTTATCATTTTTGAGGCTGGAAGGCAAAAAATTAGCCACGGGCAAGAAATTTTTTAACTGCATGTTGTTTTTATGAGGAGGGAAAAAAACCTTAGGACAGGTCTGCCGAACCTTGTGGCCCCATGGGCTAGATGAGTTGCGTGCAGGGTGAGTCTTCAGACTGAATCCCACATAGGAAAGGTGCACGGGAGTGGTCCACAGGTGTGATCCTTTATAACAGATCCAGCCATATGCCAGCCTGATCCCATGTGCTCAGATCCAGCTGCAAGCCAACCCAACCTCACACACTCAGATCTGGCCACAGAATGACCCATCATGCTGGGGTCCACACACTGTCACAATTGTGTTCTGGCCTGATCTAGCACACAGTGCCACTTATCTGGCCTGTATGGGTCTGGAAATTTGGCAGCAGGGGAGTGGCAAGTAATGCTGCCACCAGTCCCCCACCTCCACAGCTCCAGAGATTTGAGAGCCCTGTGGGCCAGAAGGCACAGCTCCATGGGCTGAAGGTTGAACACCAGGGCTGTGCGAAATGGCACCATTCCATTTTGCCATGAGTTTCAATGGTTTGATGGAACAGCGTTCCATTTCGAATTACATTTCGAGTTGAAACAGCTGTACTGTTTCGACGCTGTTTTGATGTTTCGCTGGGGCTGGGAAGTCAGCCCAGCTAGATCACACTGGGGGCAGGAGGCAGCCGCTATGATCTAGCGTGGGGGATGGGAAAGCAGCCCAGCTGGGCTGCCTCCTGCCACGGCACGATCTAGCGCCGGTGTTGGGGATCTAGCACAGAGGATGGGGAGTCAACCCAGCTGGGCTGACTTCCTGTTCCCTGCCAGATCTTACACTGGGGATGGGAAGTCAGCCCAGCTGGACTCACTTCCCATCCCCAGCCTATGGTCGAAACATTTCAACTTTCAAAATGTTTCGACTCGCCTTGTTTTGTTTCAAGGCTATTTCAACGGCCTTTGTTTTGTTCTAATTTTGCTGTTTCAACCTCGAAATTGGTCAAAACAGTGTCAAAACGAAATGGCTGGCGAAATTTTGCACAGTCCTATTGAACACCACCGCATTAGGAGATGGGAAGTATCTTTTTCCTGACACATTTTAGCAGGAGGCTGTTGTCTTTGTGAGAAATTTCATTCCATTTAAACAACTAATTGTCCCAGAGACCAAGAATATTCTGTATTTATAGTGAGTCTTTTCTATGACCACCTTGGTGTCACTGAGTCCACTCTTTCAATATCCTTTGTTCTGGTGACTGTGATCAGTGTGTCAGCTCACCAGACTAGTAACCTGCTGAAATGTCGTAGTAATAGAGTGTTTCGCCAATAATGGAAACAAGTGTTAGGGTTTTAAAATGGCCATCATTTCTCTTCACTGCACACAATTTATACTGCACCTTAGGTAATGTGCCATAGTCTCTACTTAGCATCCGAATTCTTTTTTTTTTTTTTTGTCTAATAGTTAGTTAGCAAGAGGGACTGTTTCTTCATAGGACAGAAGCTTCTTTTAGTTTCTTACTATTTTTTTCTGTTCTTCATCTTTATCTCTTCACCTAGTCCTTTCCTTTTCATACCTTTCACTTTTGCCATCTTCTCATTTCCCTTGTTAGTCTCCTTTTCACTTTCCTGCTTGCATTGTTTCTACTCTATTAATTCACTTAGCAGTCAGAGGTTAGCAGACCAATAGTTTATAGGTGTGGCATTCATCATACTTTGACTTTCTAACGCTTGGCACTGGAAGTTTGGGATCTGTAACACAAGATGTGCTGCAGTGTTTGGTAGTTGGTTCTTTCCCCACTCAACTGCCAGGACAGATATTGTGAGATTTTGGTGGGTTATAAATTACAAACCTTCTCACTGGATTTTTGGTCCCAGCAAGAAAAAGCCAGAGTGATTCTCAACCCAATGTAAAAATCCTAATTATTGAACTGTTGGTTTGGTTTTTTTATTGCTCAGCCTTTAAATACAAGGCTCACCTTATGACAGATATTCCAGAATGTTGCCACTATGCCAATCATGTTAGCTAAGTCCTATTTCTATGCAAGTCCCTAATGAGGTTTGATCCCAGATCTCCATAGTTCCATTATATAAAGACCAACTTTGTGTGCACCCTATATTATTTGTTTTGTTCAGCAAATAACCGAATATATGTTGCATCTTCGTGTAGACAATCCTATGGAGAAGAACTATCAGAATAAACAAACAATTAGCATGTAAAATGGTCTCATTCTTATTCCTTAAGGGCTTTTTTTGGACGGTATCAGCAGGTTTTTAAAAAACATTTTAACTATATTTCAGGCTCTTTAACCATAAACACAAAACTTGCAGCAAATTATAGCAGGGGCTTCTGATCCTTTTAGCAGTAAGTTTTTTTTCTTTTTGGCAGATTGCCCTCCAGTGTTCAGAAGCAATAACTCTGCTCCCTGTCTCCTTCCCTCTCCATTTCCTCCTCCATCCTTTCTCCCACACAGCAGCGTGGGCTTTAGTCACAGGAATAGAATACCGTCTGTTTAAACTGTTTTCCTAGTGTACAGAGATATTTCTCTGTGCAAATGAGCAGTTCTCCAAAAGGCACTTAATCACATCTGCTCTAGAGAATTCAATTAGTAGAGCTGTGTTTTGTGTTTTAATTTTTACTCAAAGCTCTCTAAAGAATTTTAGTTTGTCAGACTTTAATTGTCCTATTACATGAGGCTTGTAGTCAGCTGACATCTTCCTAGCTGTCTGTGCTCTAAGGATAGAGTAGAACAAAGTAATTTAGGGAGAACTTTTGGTTTTAGGTATCACTTAGCATATTTCTGTGAGCATCATCCTTAGTATGCATGTTCTACATCTAATCCATACACTCCTTGAGGATGTTATTTGTGTGGTCAAAATGGTGAAAAAGGTCTAATAGGTCATCTACTCTTGATGTCTTCCAAAGCAGTCTTTCTGTCCAGTTTGAAGAACATTGGGCCTACTAACACCTTTTTTCTTATACAAGTAGAGATTGACTAAAATTCATTTAGCAGATGTTTGAAATGTTGCCATTTCCTGATGCACTCTTATGAATTTATATTCACATGTCTCCCTGCTCTCAGTCTCCATTCCCTAGCACTCCTACCACAAGGCGTGCCTTGCAGAGAACCCTGTCAGATGAGAGTATTTACAGTGGTCAAAGGGAACACTTCTTCACCTCACGGGCCTCACTTCTGGACCAAGCCCTGCCAAATGATGTCCTTTTCAGCAGCACATACCCGTCTCTCCCAAAGTCATTACCCTTACGGAGGCCATCATATACATTAGGAATGAAATCATTGCATGGTAAGTACATTTCTATCTTTCCCGTGGAAAAGGAAAGATGTTGGGGTGGTTCCTTGAACAAAAACCTGGATGCAGCATTGAATAGTAGGTCAGATACATATGTTTATGGGAGTTTGCCTCCTGCTTTAGCATCATGTTTTCAACAGTGCTGACAACAGGAATCAAGACTAGGTGAACCAATGAGCCAATTATGTGTACCCTTGAGAGTAACTAATGCCTGTTTTAGTATCAACTCTTTTAATCTATGGTTATAGGAGCAAAGAAGTACTGACAAATGAATACCACCAAATGAATAAATGCCTATGGACATTTGGGGATTCTGAATCCCTTAATAAAATCTTTATTGCAGTAGCTGATCCTGGATTCAGATTCATGCGCTACAAACTGCAGGTTTTGAGTCTATTTAAACATTTTGATCAGGCATTAAAATGTAATTGGAAAAAGATACTGTATTTAAGTTGTTGTGCAAGGGATATTCAAAATGCCTCCATTAGTCTAGTGAAGACCCTCAAGAAGATTATGCAGCATAACATAGATTACTTACAGCTGAATCTCCTGATGCTAAGTGGGTTGGGGATTTTCACAGATTCCCACCGTACCTCATATTTATATAAATAAATATATGTTTTCTGATCATTTAATTTTGACTTGGAGAAATGCTTTAATAGGTCTCCCCGTATGGGGATGTTCTATAATGTCTTTTAGAAACTTATAGCTGTTTGTTTGTCCATGTTATAATGCATGTTATGATGAAAAATATGAATGTTTGCATACCAATAAGTGCAGCAGCATATAAGCACTTAACCAAGATCCAGCTAAAATGCTGACCATTTCCATCCAGTCCTTTGATCTTCTCCAGTTTTGAGTTTTGAGCTGCAGTTTTGCTCAGCCTGATCACAATGATGATGATGTTACATGGCTGGCATGCAGAAATAGACTTTGAAATTTAAACAGTGGATGTGTTGAAAAACAAAGACATGACAAACCAGATCAAGCAGAGAAAAGCTACCCAAAGTTCAGTGCACAAGGGACCCCCCCAAAAGAACAGATAACCAGCACGTAAAATCTGACTAGCTGTTGTAGGAAATTCTGATTCCTATTATATAATTGTAATCTTTCTAAATTTGTTTATCATTGTGGGCATTTGTCTGTCCATAACTGTTATCAAAACAGGTGTCATGAATAAAAGTATAATACTCTTCAGCCTATCCCACCATACCTCTAAAACTAGGGAAAAAAACTGTCTCCTGTGTCACAGGAAAGTCCATTTGGCCCCTTGATTGTCATCAGATGTGCATGAGATGTTTTCTGAAACTGAAGACTGCTGGAAAAAATCTATCTTCAGACACTTCAGTTGCCCCATCATTAGGCACAAATTAAGAGGTGCTGAATTTCACATGTCTGGGAACAGTTGCTGCCATTTAACATACTTCTCATGAAAGAAGGGGAATGAAGCCCCTTTAGTCCTTCTCTTTATGAGTATTCTTTTTTTTTTTTCTTCAAACTCGGTTACACCTCTTCACACTTATGAAAATAACATCTTAGTGTCTGGGTCAGAAAATGAATGATGGAAGAGCACTTGTGTGCCCTTGGAACATGGTTCCTTTGTATTTAGCCCCTTATATTCTCCAAATAGAAGCCTGTCTGCTCTGTCATTTTCTTCTCCATGCCAAAGTCAAGAATCCTCTTACTAGTTCTGGAGCATGGGTTTAATGTGGTGGCACCAAAATGGGTTTGGGGGTTTTCTATAAAATTTAGGTCTCTGCGATAAAAGGACCGAATATGCGAGTGATGCAAACATTGTCTGCTGCCTACGTGCCTCTGGGGAGGGAGTTTGAGTAGGACTGGATATTTAATCCCACCCAAGATCTGACTTCCGTTTACTTATTTAGTTCTTTAAACGTATTAGTAAAGCTGTACCTCCAAAGCTGCTCTTCAAATGATGTGAAGGGGAAACATGAAATAAAATATTCTGACTTCTCATTCTGTCTTAATTGATGATCCAGTTAATACCTTTAAAAGACAAACATTTGTAAGTGATTACTTGTTTCATTTTCTTTCAGTTCCATGTTTCTTTCCCCTAAATCATAAACTGACCATCTCAGAGATCCACATACTTGTGGAGATGCATCCTACTCTTCCCACGGCACTATATCAAGGGCTTGCAATGTCTGCTATGCGTGAAGTAAAACAAGGGCCTGTACAAGCTGTCAGGGAGGTCAGAAGCTTCTAAGCAACAACAGTGCTGTGATTGCTCTTTAAACTCATATTCCCCAGACAAAAAACTTTGACTAAAATTAGTTGAAAGCAGTTATCAGTAACATGACTTTGGGCTCCAGCATTCTTGGAGAGCCTTTATCAAAAAGCAAACATTCAAAACAAGGACATTCAGAAGTCTGGTTACAAGGAATTTGCCACAATATTACAGTTAAATTGAAAAAATGGAATCGGCATGAGAGAGAGAGAGAGGAAGAATGGCCTTGCATGTCACGCTTCTGACTGTGAGCTGACGTGTTGGCAGCTCTTTTAATCCAATGTTTAAATCCTGATGGGCCAGTTCTAGAGCTCTAGAGCCTTTTTTTCCACAGCTCCTTCTGCACAGAAAGCCCAAATTGAGCCATTCAGTGTCTTGATCACCTTGTGCTTTCTCAGAGCAGCCAGACCTGAAGGAGGGTGCTACCCAGCTGCTTTGCAGGCCTTGCTAACCCAGGTAGAGACTAGGAAAATGCATTAGCCCTGGACAAATCTTTGAAAGCACCTCATTTTCTGGGTTGTCTGAGAAGTTCTTAACCATTCCCAGCCCCTAGGAAAAGTGCATCACACATGGAGAGTCTTGGGAGGCCTGTTCATGTGTTTCATTGCCTTAAATGGTCTGCGTGGCAAGGGAAGAGCCCCAATCAACAGACTTTAGCATGTGAGAAAG